AAAGACGCTTGCTAGACTTATTCAATTCCTTACTAGAAAACAACATTATACCGCCTGAATGGAGACAGGTCAAAGTAATAGCCATTCGAAAACCTGGCAAACCAGCGTCTGACCATAACTCATACCGTCCGATTGCGATGCTTTCGTGCATTAGGAAATTGTTGGAGAAAATGATCCTTCGGAGACTCGATCGCTGGGTCGAATCAAATAACTTGCTATCAAATACACAGTTTGGGTTCCGCAAGAGCAAAGGAACAAACGATTGTCTAGCGCTGCTTTCCTCAGATATTCAACTGGCCTTTGCGCACAAGGAGCAATTGGCTTCAGTATTCTTGGACATTAAGGGGGCTTTTGATTCAGTTTCCATTGAAATTCTGTCAGACAATCTGCACAGATGTGGACTTTCTGGAATTTTAAATAATTTCTTGTACAATTTGTTGTCAGAAAAGCAAATGAACTTTTCCCTTGGACAACTGACAACTTCCAGAATTAGCTACATGGGCCTACCCCAAGGCTCATGTCTCAGCCCTCTTCTTTATAACTTTTATGTCAAAGATATCGACAACTGTTTGGCAGAACAATGCACGCTAAGACAACTTGCAGATGACGGTGTGGTTTCCGTAAGAGGTCCACATGCCATGGACTTGCAAGGACCATTGCAAAGTTCCTTAGATAACTTGTCTTCTTGGGCTAGGAATCTAGGGATCGAATTCTCGCCGCAGAAAACTGAACTGGTAGTGTTTACTCGAAAGCGGTACCCAGCCCAAATGCAACTTAATCTTTTGGGCAGAAACATTACTCAATCATTGTCTTTCAAGTACCTTGGGGTCTGGTTTGATTCAAAGTGCACTTGGAATACCCATATTACGTATTTGAAGCAAAAATGTCAGCAGAGGATCAACTTTCTCCGTTCAATTTGCGGCACATGGTGGGGTGCTCATCCGGGAGACCTCATAACGCTTTATAAAACAACAATTCTCTCTGTTCTAGAGTACGGCTCTTTCTGCTTTCTCTCGGCAAGAAAATGCCACCTTATAAAATTGGAACGAATTCAATATCGTTGTCTGCGTATTGCTCTTGGCTGTATGCATTCAACGCATAACATGAGTCTCGAGGTTCTGGCAGGAGTAAAACCCCTCCAGAACCGTTTCTGGGAGCTCTCTCTCAGAATACTAATCAAATGCGGAGTGACGAACACACTTATAATTGCAAATTTTGAAGAAATTTTTGAGCTGAACACACAATCTCGATTTATGAGAATCTACCACGACTACATATCCTCGGATATGTGTCTTCCTTGTTATACTCCAGACCGTGCTCACTTCACCAATCGCAGTTCCTCAATTGAATATGATCTATCCATGAAACAAGTGATTCACGGGATTCCAGATCAACTTCGAACTATTATTATCCCACGTATTTTTACTGAAAAGTACCAACACGTCAATTGCGTGAACAGATATTTTACAGACGGGTCTCGTCTCAGTGGATCCACTGGCTTCGGTGTCTTCAATGAAAACTCTAGCGCCTTCCGCAAACTTCAGGAACCTTGTTCCGTTTATGTTGCTGAGCTGGCAGCAATCAACTTCGCTTTGGGGATGATTTCCAACATGCCCGCAGACCATTACTTCATCTTCTCGGATAGTCTCAGTTCTATTGAGGCTATTCGGTCGATGAAACCAAGTAGGCACTCATCTTATTTCCTTTCAAAGGTAAGGGAGCAGATGAGTGTGCTGGTCGAAAGATCATATATGATTACCTTTGTATGGGTCCCCTCACATTGCTCAATCCCAGGCAATGAGAAGGCGGACTCTCTCGCAAAGGTGGGCGCGCAGGAAGGCGAATTTTATGACAGGCAAATTTCACACGATGAATTTTACCATTTAGTGCGTCAGAGTACCCTTTCGAGTTGGCAAACCGATTGGGACAATGGAAATCTTGGACGGTGGTTACATTCAATTATTCCTAATGTTTCTTCGAGAGCGTGGTTTAAAGGCTTGGGCTTAAGTCGTGACTTCATTCGCGTGATGAGTAGACTTATGTCCAACCACTACTCGCTAGATGCGCATCTCAATAGAATAAACCTCGTGGACAGCAACATATGTCGGTGTGGAAACGGTTACGACGACATCGATCACGTAGTTTGGCAATGTACGGATAATGACGCCGCCAGAGAGCGACTTTTGAATACCCTCGAGGCCCAAGGAAGACAACCCTATATTCCTATCAGAGACGTGTTGGGTACCCGCGATCTCTGCTATATGCAGTCGATTTATGTGTTTCTGCAAATGTCTAGTATAAGAATTTAATTCGTTTGTCTTTTGTATCTCTTTATTAGTTTTTGTTTGTCTTGTCCCCCGTCTCGATGAGTCTCATCGTCGCCCACTGGTCACCATAGCCGGTCGAACTCCAGACGAATCTAGAACCACACTACCGTTCATACTGGCGACATCACTCTGATGAGACAACGAAACCCTACCCAAGCTCCTCCCCTTTTCCTATCCTTCGACAATGTACCCCTCTAACCTCGAGTAAGCCGCGAGTAATCGGCCCAACTCCTACTAGACATAGAATTAAGTGAATTTTGTTACAAACAAAGAACAATGAATTATCGGCTCCGTAAAGCTAACGCGATTGAGCCTTACAAATAAACGAACTAGATAAAAAAAAAAAAGTGACGTTTGCTAGAAAACAAGCAAACCCTAACTTGATACCCAATCCAGGTTGGAACTGGATAATAAACAAATTCGCTATAAGCAAGCATCAGCAGATAGGGGCTGACCATCGTTAGGGGAGAACAGCCTACAATGCACCCCTGGGTTAAAATGGCCCTGTGCGGTTTTTCGTTGCTTTCTCCCGTGCGGTTTTCCGAGTTGACAATCGGAAAGCTATGAAAAATGCAGAGGGTTATTTTACCCCAGGGGTGCGTTTTTCACTCCACCGAGAGGACCAATGCCGTCAATGCGAATACATGCGTCTTTCCTAATTCACAGACTGAAACAAAAAATACATAATCATAATCCGAACAACTTCTTGCACTCAGCTGTACGTATTGAGATCAATAGTTTGTAGCGTGCACTCACAACAAGCCTTCCGTAGTATAAGTAATGTATCGTGAGTGCGTATTAGTATTAAGAGTCAGATTGCATCGCTAGCTTATGATGATGCCAATAATAAATCTTATAGCAGGTGTGTGCGTATTCATTGATCGCTAGAAGCGATTTTTGACAGCACTGATTCCAAATCAATTTACCGCGCCCGGGACATAAAACTATTCAAAACTGAAATTAAAAACTACCTATCACTCGCGATGCCTCAAATTTCTGTTCCGGGAGCACAAGCGATGGGAAAAAAACAAACAACGTAGATAACGACATCTCTTCTGATGCTTGCAAACATGATGAATCACGTTTTCTTTTCAGTTAAGATGCGTCAAGAAAAAAAAAATAAATAAAAACATGTTGCGGCTCTGTTTACAAACCATTAAAACTATCAAAACAAATACAATATTTTTTTTTATCAAAACAGGTTCCTAATTTTTTTTATGTCTATATTTTTTTCTAAAAAGTATTTTCAATTACCTTTTAATTGATATTTTGATCTTTGAAATCGGCCCAGTGGTTCAAACGTTATTAATTGAAAAAAAAAAAAAAATTATGGAAATGGTCACTCTAATGACAACATAAAAAAATACGGGTCTAATATTTTGCGAAAAGGAACACAACAATCAATTTTTACGAAATTCCGAGAGCCACTATATTGTTTTGCTATGGAGTGGCTGTATTTTTGAAAATCATGACGAAAGGGTAGTTCGCAATGGGGAATACTAGAACACTAATAAATACAATAATAACCTAACCTTCAAATTTATGGTGAAAAAAAAAATACAACAAAAATAATACAATTCAAATAACTGTAAATATTATGATTTATTGATTTTTCCCGGTTCTCCTGTAGAATTGCCGAGTTTTTCCCGACTACTTTTCAAATTCCCGGTTATTACCCGGTTCGCTGACCACCCTGGATTTTCAAGCATATGAGCAGCTAACTAACACTGGATCATCCAGATCATGGGTACTGGTAAAAGTAATTAGGTCAATCCGTCCAGGCTGCCACTTGGCTGCCTTTGGGTTTAGTAAATGGCGTCACTCCGCGTGCCTCGCCAGATTCTGCCACAATTAAGGTAGAACAAACAGCAGCACAGGACGTCTAAACCCAATGGAAAACGATTAAATGTATACTCCTTAATGGTGAAACCATCGCATCGTGCTGTTCTTCACTAGTAGTGGAAGCTGTGCTTCACCACCAAGGACGACGACGACGACGACTGTAATTTGGTTTTGCTGGCTGGGGAAAGATTACCGAAATGCAGCGTCGGATATTAAATTATTACAGGACGTCGTCGCTGCCGCAGTGGGAGGCCTAATAGGCAATTATTGATTATGAAGGGATGACTGCAGCGTAACTGCATCTATCTATGATATACAACGATAGAGCGGGCTTCTTTATAATTCCCACTTTTGAACAGAGTATATATTTTGCCGGTCCTAAGCCGTTGCGTTCTTCATCCCTTTTCATTTAGTCGAGTGCTTCTGTGAAAGTTTCCAAATCGCAAGTACAGCAAATCACAGTTAATATGTCCCAATTCAGCCAAAAACACCAACTCATACCCCTTTCTCCTCAGAAAGCAACACGAACCGTGCCTTAAAACGTCAATATCGCTGAGTGATGACTCTTCACCTCATTTTGATATTCGTATCACGAAAATGTTTGAAAATAAGTTCTAGCTTTGTTTACCGTCGTCAGATTGATAAGAACCGGCAGATAGTCTGAACGAAGAGTCTCACCTTACTTATTACTCTTTTTTTACAGGCGAACCTACTGACCCCCCAAAACGATCATCTACATATAGAACAGGATTTTGCAATTCACAGGCACGCGAACCAACCCCAAATAAACATAAACGAACTTCGGCTCTCTATCGCGTGACTCACACTCACCTCCGCTTCAGTATCACATTCTGTAGTTATGATTGCACCGTGTTGTTGTTGTTGTTGTTGGCGGTGGTGTTGCTGCTGTTGTTGTTGGCGGTGACCTTGATCATTACCACCACTGACACCGTGAGTCCTGCCACTGAATGATTGCCGCTGCTGTTGCTGCTGCTGATGATGATAGTACTGACTTTCGGGATTCTGCTGACCACGAAAGGTTTGTTGCGATGATGAACTGGACTCCGGAATGCTACTGCCGGTTTGCGAATTATAGCTAGCTGTAGTCGTCGTCGTATTCGTGGTCGTACTGCTGCTGCTGATGTTGGACTGTGTTGATACGTGCATATTATTTTGACACTCTCTGATAAGAGATTTGCAGTTTTTTGCTCTCTCTCTCTCTCTCTCTTTCTTCCTTATTTCTTAACCCTCACACTACCATCCATCATCGACGTTATCACAAACAATTTAATTATAATAACAATATAACGGAACGAAAGCGACACTACACTTTATGACTGCGGGGACGTACACTTTTCACCTTGCGATTAAAATATTGGCCATTTGATTACAGACACTCGTTTTTTTTCTTCCTCTTCGTTTCACTACGAAACATATATTAAACTATAGACTTTATGCACGAAATTTAATCCATAATTTTCTGGTACTGCTGCTGCTGCGGTAGGTCGATAATGGAATATCCGAAACTGGTCAGTACGGTTTTATCACTGTAAAGAGGGAAAGGAAACAGAGAATGGTTATATTTTTTTTTAAAGTTCGTTGGAAATACTATCCTACTATCAACATGAAGCTTTTAGTGTGATAATTTATTAGCTAGAAAAAGTTCTGAAGATGATCCTGCAGTGTGAAAATCGAATATAAGTTGAAATTTAGTGGAGGGCTAATGCGACAGTACCTACTAGTCAAACGCACTCTCCTTTACCTAACTCATACATTAATGAATGACATACTGATATGATAAAAGCTAATTTATCGCTGTAAAGGACCATCCATAAATGACGTAGCGTATTTTGACGTAGGATTACGTCTTTTGACAACATATTGGGGGTGCAGTTTCAGAAAAAAAAAATGACTGCATTACGAAAAGTGGTCAGGTTTTGCCCACGTATAACTCTGTCAATAGCAGATGGATTTTAATTCTAAACAAGCGAATCGATTAGAAATTTTACTATGAATTTGCTAAATTTAACACTTTATAAATTTTCAATATGTCACTATTGATAATTACCCAAATGTCCAACTGTTGCAATGGTTATCAAAATTATCACCGATTGCCTGAAAACAGCGCTTTTCCTAACACAGATTTCAAAATCGAATTCCATCCCGTCTCACTGAACGGTGCATATTCAATCACTGTGTGTGGTGGTGTCCGGTCGGTCGTTAGCAGCAACAGCAGCAGTTGTGCTTTCGGCGCGTGGCGTTGAACATTGTTCTCCAGTACATAACGACCGACTGCCCGCAAGCAGCGAGCTGCAGCTTACATGAGCAGTAGACTGATGCAAAATTTGAAATACTGTCAAACGGTTTCAAACCGGGTCTTGATTAGCCTCCGAAAGTTTAAACTCATTTGATAAGAAACTGACTTGGCACAAACCATTTGAAGTTTATATGGAAATTACTATGGGAAAACAAAACTTTTTGATCATTGTCTTCTAGCCTTTTTACATATCGTACTGTTAAGCAATTGTATTGCTATTCTTATGGGAATTTTTATCAGCTACAACTTTGCAGAAAATCATTTTTCAGCCAACCGTCAAATTAAATAGTTATTAATTGTTTAAGAGACGGATAATCTTATGGCAAGATTAAGGAACTGTATTGTGGGCAACACTGTATTCTGCAGTGTGACATAGTAGCCATGATTTTTGTCCTCTATTCTACGCGCCATAAACACCAATGTTGCCTGCTGAACAGTTGATTGAGCATAATCATAAGACATCAGTGACTTGAATCATTAATAACTTTTGTTCCTAACATTTGATCGAAAAGTAGTCTTCAACAAAGTTGTAGCTGAGAAAATTGTCAACAAGCTTAAGCTATTATTTTCTAAAGTAGAGTGAACTGGTGAATTTTGAGATAGATATGAACCGAAATTATGGTTTCTCTATAGTAATTCCCATATAAACTTCACATGGTTTGTGCAAAGTCAGTTTCTCACTTATTGCGTTCATATTTTGGGAGGCTAATCAGGGCCCAATTTGGAACCGTTTGAGCACCGTGGAGCGAAAATTTCAAATTTTGCATTAGTATAATGAGCATCCATTCACCGAAGAAGGAGGAAGGAGCCTCACCGCTACTGATCGAATTCAGTAGCTCTTCGTGAGTCGCTGAGGACCATCTATGCCAAGCACGTCACCCTCGTTCCAAACAACATACAGCTCGCCAGCCTCATCCGTGTTGAACACCCTAATAGCTCAGCATTACTCAACCATCACGACAAAACGGTCCTTTTCAGGACCACCATAAATTATTGTTGTTTAAGAGTTAATTTCCATTTAACGTTCGCTTACCTTACTGCCAGCCACATCACCCCCAAAGCTCTTTGATTATGTACCCAGCAACAAAACGTTTGTGGTCCACGTGAAATTTTGACATCATAAAACGAGGCGTTTCCGTGAGGGGAAAAGTGGTTTCCCTAACACAGTCGCCGAATATTGATACTAAGCACTGAGTATGCCAGATGGTACTTATCTTTATCCCTTTAGGCTTTAGATGCAAATTTTAAGCCCCTCCTATTAAGCGAATTATGCCATAAAAAATCTTGCCGAATTCTCTGAGTAAAAGGGGCTTAAAAGCATTAACGTAGGTACCGTCTGGTATGCTCAGATTCTGTGGTTGATGTGTTTTCTCTGAAACATATTTCATTTTTACACCGCTATCATCTCTAAGAACATCGAGGAAAAATTTCTACTGCATTGTTCTAAACTAGTTTCCAAGCTTCCACACCAATTATGCATGTTCCCTAACGAGAAATTTCATGTATGTTATTACTTCTTATATTTGTGTGTGGTAATCTGGGATTTCTCATGTGAATATCAAAGCTTACACAACATCTAAGTTAGTCTAAGTCTAAGATTAATCTCTGTGGAAGCCTTATTTCTGATGGATCACATCATCACCTCAAAACTTCTCTATAAAACATGTTTTTTTTTCTACAGAATAATTAAATCATTAGTTGTTACGATGCTATTCTTGTGATATTTATTAGAGAATTCAGAAAAGCGTTCCAAGTGAATTTCTGAAATCATTCAATGAGAATCTCGGGAGAATACTAGCGAATTTTCATGAAAAATCTCCATTGAATATGTAATGGACTATTATGAGGTCTTCAGAACAACTTGAAAGTTCCTGAAGTTAATGAAACTGCCTTGAAGTTCTTTTGTAGTTTGAGAAACTAGCCTGATGCTTGGAATATTTCTCATCATTGTTTTTAACTTCTCTAAACTTTTTCGAATTTCGTAAAGTTTCCACAATTTTCCTAACGATCATGAATCTTCTCTAAAGTTTTAACAATTCACTGAATTTCAATTTTTTTTTTTTTAGATTTATGGAATTTTTCTGTTCTGAGGATATTTGTTCTTTCTTGAAGTTTTTTTTAGCTTTTTTCCGAGATCAATATCTTTCTTGAAGTTCTCGAAACTTCGCTAAAGTGTTTGCAGTTCTCATGAAGCTTGTTGTACTACCTTGAAGTAAATTGAACTGTGTTAAAAATGTTTAAGCTTCCGTGAACTTTTGGACTTATACGAAAATCTCAATAATTTCCTTAACATCTCTTAAGTTCTCTGAAAATTTTCTGAACTTCTTAAAATTTTTCGCTAGTTTTGTGAAACTAATGGAACTGTACTCCCCTGAAATTTCCCTTGTTTTTGGAGCTTTGCTAAACTTATTTAATGCTTCCAAAATGTCCATATAAGTTCCTGAAGTTCTCTTCCCTTAAGTTCCATAGACTGTTATGAAGTTCTCGAAATGTTTCTGAAGATCTCTGTACTTCTTTGAAATTTTCGAAGTTATTCTAAAATAATATTAATTAAATAATTAATATAGTTCAATGATTTTCACTGAAGTTCTCAAGATTTTTCGACTCACTAGTCTAGGGTCTCCTGATTTTTTTTTAAACTGCCCAAAATATTTCTTAATTTCCTTTAAATTCTCTAGACTGCCCTGAAGATCTTAGTATTTTTTTTTAAAGAACCCACAATTTTACTGGAATTGATTGAATTGTCTTTAAGTTCTACAATTTTCCTTAAGTTTTATAAAGTTTGTAAACGCTCACCCTAAATCACAAATTTTCCCTTGAAAGTCCAGCTCTGATGTTTTCTATGCTTAAAATAATTTCTCTAAATTGATCAAAAATTTTTTTTTTTTTTTCCTTTATTATAGGGATTTTTAGCCATAGGCTAGTTCATCTCTTGAAATTGATCAAATGTTCCGGTAAATTTTCTCATATATATATATTTATAATTCCCTGAATCTTCTAAAGTTTTCAGATAAATCATACAATGCTAGGAATATCCCAATTCTAAGGAACTCCTTGTAAGTCGCTGTAAATTTCCATAAGTTAATGGGATTTTTGTGATGTTACCTGATCGTTCTCGAAGTACTCGGAACTTCACTGAATATAACGAAACCATCTGAAGGTCTCTGGATTTTTTTGAAAATATCGGGACTTGCTAAAAGTTTTTGCATTTTTTTAATTAATTGAACTTCGTTGATGTTCTCTAATCAACTTAGCTAAATTTAGGAAATTGGGCCCATACATAAATTCAGAAATCGACTACAGCAATCAAGTACCGTCCCAATAACGCGTTCATCTAGATAAAATGGATAAATAACAGATTTTTAGCGATGGGCCCAATCTTAGATCCATAGACCAACATTAGAGCCATTTCCCCTATAACACCCTTGAAATACTGTCACATTTTCCGGATGTTCATACCTATAATTTTTATTGCGTTCCAGAAATTTTCTCTGACCAAACCAAAGATTCCAGAAATTCCCGAAAATTTTCTTGAAACATCTTTAAGGTTTGTGCACTTTCTTTAACATTTGTTTTAACTGCCCTTTGATCCTGCCCTTGATGTTCTCGGAGCTTCCCTAATGCTCTTTGCTTTAAAATAAATGGAATTCTCGTGAACACCTTTAAACTTCCCCTCTTGATTCTATGATGTTCCTGAAATATTTCTGAAGTTTCCATACATGTTCTGAAGGTCTTGTCTGAACTCACGCTAATAGATTTTTAAACCAATCCCATAGTCTGGGCTAAAATTTTGGGGACTTCCACTTAAGATCTCTGGAATTCCCCAAAGATCTCTAGATCTAGTTTTTCGGAGATAAATAGAACTTCTTAAAAGTTTCTACAATTTTGCCACTACGAAACTTCAAGACATTAACACTCCGAATACGACGCCTCCGAAAAGCGTGTAACGGCAAGTTTGCAATGGCATGGCTTAGTCATTTCTTGATGAATTGTGAAAAATTATGGTACTTCTAGAATTACTAGGGTCTGTCATCTCGGAAAGATAGAAAATAAGGTCGTCTGCTTTTTTTAAAAGGTGTGTTAATGGATTTTGCAAGTGCCTTAAGTTTTATTATTTAGATTAATGGGCACAAATGTTCATATTTTTTTTCAGAATACAGTCATGGTTCCTATATGTGGATCCTGAACACAACGGAACGGTCCTCCGGAAGATCCGGAGCATCCGTAAAA